CCAGGAGTTCGAGACCAACATGGGCAAAATTTGTCTCTACAAAAAAATAAGAAAAATTATCTGGGCGTGGTGCTGCATGCCTGTAGTCCTAGGTACTTGGGAGGCTGACCTGAGGGGATCCCTTGAGCCCAGGAGTTCCAGGTTACAGTGAGCTATGATGATGGCACTGCACTCCAGCCTGAGTGGCAGAGTGAGATCCTATCTCTTAAAAAAAATAAAAATTAAGTTTTCTTTAATTATAAAAATATAATATTCATGAAAAAAATTTTAATATGTGTAAAGGAAAAAAGAAAGCAAATCTGGTCTTCAGTGACTTCCTAAATGCTCTTAGAATATAGCGCATGTCCAAGGCAGGCCTCCCTCCACCCCCACCCCCACCCCGGGCAAGCCTCTGCCTGCTGCAGGCCCCTTGCCAGGAGGAGCCACACAGTCACCCTCTGGAACCCTTTTCTTCTGCTTCTTTCCCTTCCTTCCCTGACTCCCTAGAGCAGACTAGTCATTTGCCCCCAGAGACAGCATTTGCTTATTAACTGTGTAGCTGGCTGGGCACACTGCCAACTCCTTGAGGGCTCAGTGGTCCAGTAAATACTCCTTGAATGAACCCTTCTACCCAGAGAGAAGCACCGCTCATGCGGTGACCATCCTTTCAGAGCAAGTGCATGTAATAAGGCGTCCACACCATAAAGTACGATTTGAGGATTTTGAAGAAAGTTCATTCCAGTTTGTACCAGTGAAGCAGCAAGAGAACACCAAATCATTTGCACACAGTCCCCAGGTGTGGACAGAGATGAAGGAGGAGTTTGATTTGGCCCCTGATCAAGGAGCACCGAGCTCATTTTAGTTGTGCCCCTGCCCTTTGTGACTCATCTTCTCCAGCTGCTTTGGAGCTGTCTGTGGGAGCCCCAGAATCCTGCCTTTGTATGTTGCTCAGACTCCCGTGGCTCAGCTTCCAGCCCCTGCTCACACCAGCAGGCCTGACAAGCCGAACAGGGACTCCAGGCCCATCTCCTCCTGAGGGTGAGTGGGTTAGGATCCACCCAGCACAGGTGAGCGCAGCTGGCCTAGCAAAGGGCTTAGGACGAGAGGCCCATCGAAGTGGCCACCAGTGGCTGGTGTGGGGGGCGGGCCCTGAGCCCCATGGCAAGAGCAAAGAGCCCTAGCCATGGAGCCAGGCAAACCGAGGCTGGAGTCTGGCTCAGCCTCTTAGGTTTGGGCATCGTGGACTGCTGTCTTCACCAGTATAAGCCTCAGTTGTCTTATCTGTAAACTGGTGAACATACTTACCTCGCAGCATCATTAGGATAAGGAAAAAGACCCTGTTTATAAAGCATATGGTGGGCATCGGTTCCCAACCTTTTTCGCACCAGGGACAGGTTTCATGGAAGACAGTTGTTCCACGGACCAAGGGTTGGGGAGCGGGGTGTCATGGGTCGGGGGAGGTGGTGTGCAGCTCAGGCAGTGGTACACGGCCGGTTTCCTAACAGGCCACAGACCCATACTGGGCCCCAGCCCGGGGATTGGGGGCCACGGCCGTAGACGGTCAATAAGCGGTAACAATTAGTATCAGCTGATTTTAATACATCATCTCTACCATAAAGGGAATATGGACTTCTAGGTAACCAGTAGGGGTGGTGGTTACCTCTTTGCTGCCTGTAGATTTTGTTTTTAACTACTAGCCACTGCAGCATGTTGCTATAGAATCTTACTTCCAACCCTGTGGTCCCCAGCACAGAGATCCCCAAAGCTGGCTGCAGGGCAGAATCACCTGTGGCACTTAAACGCATGCAGTCAGACACCTGCTATTTGATCCCCAGGGTCCGGGGTTGGAGCCTGGCCTTTGCGCCCACAGCACCTGCCCCGTCACGGAAACTCGCAGTTCGTGTCACTCCCAGGGTTGGTGGCCACCTTCATCGGAACCGTCTGGGCAGCTCACTTAGCTCTCTGGACTCCACATCACACATACCGAACTGGAATCCCAGAGGGCAAAGGTGGGAACGGGATTCTGGCGGGCTGACCGTGGCGACCCCACTGCATGCCCACGTGCGCTCGTGCTGCGCAGGGCGGCGTGCCGCCCGCGCGAGGGCCGTGTGCGGGTCGCTGTCTTCCGCCGCTTCTTAATTCTCTCTTCATCTATTGCTGGTCACAGACTCCAGCACTTAAACACTCTTATTGAGCAACACATAAGCTTAACCAACATGGAATACAGCAGCCCTCTTGATAAATTTTATTCTTCAAAAGAATCATAATGAAATACGAAAATGCGGCTTCCATTGTGCAGTAAGCTACTTTTTTTCTTTTTGAGGACATTGGGCAGCTTTATTAAGTAATTTAAAGTTATAAGAAGGAACACCCTTACTTGAATATTACGTGCATCTGTGGTATGTTTTGTGATTCTGCTGAAAAACTTGATCTGATTCATGTTTTGGGTTACTACCTAAAACCGTTTTGGTGTGAAATAGGACATGGCTGAAGTAGTGTTGTTTTGTTTTTTAAGTGACATACATCTGCAGAAGACAGACTTTCATTTTAACGACTAAGGATCGGTCAGTATTTGAAGGACAGGACAGGGCTCGCTGTCATTGCTCACGATTGCTTGAGCAACATGCCCACGCTCAGGCCCACCCCTGCCCCCACCACCACTCTGCCCAAGTCTCCACCCCAGCCCTTGCACAGTGCTGCGTCTTAACAGTTTAAAGCCTTTCAGCAGCACACCTCTGCCCCTGCAGGATGGCAGTTTGCTGCCCCGACCCTACTTCTTACCAATCTGCAGAAAGCTTTGGTTTCCCTGTGTCTCAGTAAATAAGGAAAATGCTTTCTTATGGGGTTGTTCCAATAACTGAGTGTTCCTTGCCATCCTCTACAAAAATCACCATCTGCTCTCCCAGATTCTTCTGGAAAGAGCTTCATAACCATGTCACCCTGACAGTGGTGCTGCAAAGAAAGGGAAACAGCTCCTTCCATTTCCTGGCTGCTGTGCCCACTCCCGCACCCCCTCTCCACAAGGGGACTGCCGGTTCCTGTGTCACTTTCTGCAAGACCACGACCAACCTCAAAAGAGGAGAATGCGGTGCCCTGAAGGATACAGTGTCTCCTCCCAGGGGGTCCTGTGGCTTTCCTCAGACTCCCCAGGAGTTGGTCAAGCAGCAGCGGGTGTCTCACACTTTTACTTTCAGTCTGAGTTACATAATTTCCAGGCTTCCCTGCAGTTTTCTCCTCCTGAACTGTTTACACAGCAACTCTTACCTACGAGGCATCACATGGCTTTTCCTCTGTTTAGAAGATCTGGATGGCTGTGTCCCAAGTTTTTCCTACCTAAGATCCTTTTCAATAGGAGACGGATTCAGCCTATCTGAAGATCAAGAGTTGTGGGTGGCCTTTGTGATCCTGTTAGCACGCCCACCCCAATAAACACTCTTCTGATGAATAACAGCCCTTCCTTTTCCTTCCCCACCTGTCTGTCATTTGGTCATGATGACAGTAACCGTGGCAGAAGCACACATACCCCTTCCAGAAATCCAGGGACTCATTTTGGGAAATACTTTCATAATTAAAGCCTTTTGAGAAATTGCTACATCTTTCTTGAACTTATCTAATTTTTTTCCAGAGGTACCTTAAACCTGCATTAAGGGGAAACCCCCCCCAAAACAGTCCTACTTAATTACCCATCCTTCCTTGCTCCTTTCTCCTCATTAATCATGCACGTCGTTGCTTAAATGAAACAGATGAGTACACCATAATTACATCTCATAGTGTGTTTTTAGAAATCATTTATTCCAAACATTTACAATTTTCACCTTAAATGTACAATAGCTGGTAAAAAGAAAACATTGAAAAACATAATATACAGGCATCAGCCTTTGGTATTTGCTTTCAGGTAATTAGGTAAAAAAAACCAAAAACCTTAAAACTATTATTTCTCTCCAAGAAAACAGCATAGAGGTGAGGTATTCTATTTAACAGATAGGACCTCCATCCAATAAAGTCTATTAATTAACAGCCTTCCTACATGCTGTTCCCATCCTTTCCTTCCAAAGTAGTTCTTCTTTTGAGCATATGCTCATAAAACTGACAATGTTCCTTAATAATCATTCAGGTTGCCATAGAAACCCCTGGCGCTGGCGCCCAGGCACACTGAGGACAGGAGGCTGGAAGGACCTTTAGGGGACGCTCAGGAGCACCTGGCACAGAACCCGGCTGGCTGGCCTGCACCTCCACCAGCAGCCTGTGCCGACTGTTGCCTGGGAGAGCTGGGTGTGGGGCTCACGGCCCAGTGGATCATGGGTTGCCCCTGCATCTCCAAATTAAGACAATTTCCCACTAACTCCACCTGAAGCTGAGTGTCAGAATCCTCCCCAACTGGGTCAGCCTTAAGGACCCGCAATGAGATGATACAGCTCAGCAAAGCAGTTGGGCAAGACATTCCTGAACATTCTCCAGAAAACCCACAAACCACGACCACTCCCAACCTGCCCCACTGGGCTCTGTTCACCACCAAGTGGGCTCCCTGCCCAGCTCCAGCAGCAGATCCTAGCTATACCGTGGTGACCAGCTTCCTTTCTCCCAAGATGGCAGGGAACCGCCGGAGACTTGGCGTGAGCTGGCTCAGAGCCGGGCATGCAAGCCACAAGGGCAAGGGCCATCAGAGCAAAGCGGTCTCAGAGTTACCCAAGGCCTCCTAGACACATCCAATGCTACGCCCTTGAAATATTTTTTAAAATATTGCATTAATGCTACAAGAATTAATGAGATCACTTTAACTTAGACCTTGAACCAGCATATTTTTTTACTTTTCCCACCCAGCAGGATAAGTTATCAGACTTAAATTGTCTCTGTCCCAACATTTCACATTTGGCTGTATGGCAGAGGGCTGCAGGTGTTAGGTGCGTAACAGACTGTTGAGGATACAAGGTGGCAGGTGTGCTGCCCAAACACAGGTAAGAAGGACCTGTGGACTGAGACACATGCTCAGTTACCACAGATTAAAGCTTAGGTTATATACCTGTGTACAATGAGCAAAGCCTCCAGCCCAGAGAGGACAAACACTTCCTTCATTTATACTAGCTTATAAAAAAATGAAAGGAAAAAAAAAACCTTCTTCAATACAAAAAAAAAAAGGCAGTTCCGTTACAATAATAATGAAAGCAATAACAATTTGGAGATCAAAGCTGCCTAGCTCTCGGCAATAATGAGCTATCTGGATTTCACATCTTCCACTAGCACCGCTCTGCCCGGCTTTGGTAATATTACATGCGGGTAAAACGGTGTAAAGAATTAAAGAACCGTGGGCACAGAATCACCCTTTCTCATGCAGATTCTCATTTTTAATATTTCCCTTTAACAAGCATTTTTGCTGTTCAAGTCCCAGAAACTTTCTATAGAAAAAAAAAAAAAAACACCACCATGAACACCTGCCTGACTTTTGTCAACTTAAGATGAGTTGCCTGAAGCAGCAACAGGGTCGAAAATGTACAAAGCCAGCAATGAAAATCATGGAAATCCCTACTTGCTCAAGATAGCAACAGCTTGAACTCAGCAAACAATAAATAAAACATGGTCGTTTTCATCCTTTTGCACCTGTGTGGGGGTGGTGGCGGTTTTTCTGAAAGGGCAGACCACTAGAAAAGTTGTGTGGTCTGGTAAAATTTGGGTCCGTGGTTACATGACTGAGTTTAATCACAGCTCCACGCTGGGATATACCCCAATACCCGAGGGCGCCTGTCTGGGTAACCACTGACATCACTGAATGTTCAAAGCCCGGACAGAAATTCAGCTGAAGTGGTTAGTCACGATGTCGCAGCTAGACATTTAGCCGGTGCTTCATTTCTAGCTGAGCTGAATCAAACTCCAGGAAAACAAAGAAAAAGAGGAAGGCGCTGAGGTGAGGGATTTTTAAAAGAACCTCCTCTTTGATAACGGAGGGCCCTGGCTGCCAGAGGCGGGGAATTTCTAGGCCCCTGCCTGGTACTCGTGGGAGGGAGACTGAGACACCCTTTCCTTTGCACCCGCCTGGGCGCTGTGAAGTCACAGCTGCTTTCCCCCAGAGAAGACGCAGGCTATTTTTCCGCTTTTTAAGACAAAAACAAAATACAGAATGAAACCAGAATCTCTTCTCTAGTAGGGAAAAAAATTTTTTTCTCCTCCTCCCTTTTCAGTTTTGGGCTAAACGAAGATACTATGTTATTTACACACTGACACCCAGCCAGTACTGGATCTTCCACACTCTGGAAGAAAAAAATAGTCAGCAGTTTTTTAAAAACCAAATCGAAATACATTCTTGCCGGGTTCTTTTTTTCTTTTCACATTGTCTTCCTTAGTTACTCAAGTTCAGTTGAAAAAACAAAGCTGGGGTGAAACCGTTTGATTTCCGCACTGGCAGGAGCCCTCTCAGTCACCAGCTCTCCTGTGGGGGCCGTAGGGGGGGACAGAGAACCCTGGTTTTCAGAGGCTGCAGCCTCCTCGGCTCCCCCACCACAGGGGACCATGGAGACCCTGCCCCCCTCATCTCTGCTTGTCTCCTCCAGAAGTCCTGAGATCCAAAGCCAATACAGTAGCTTCTGTATTCAGCAAATGCCTGGGATTATCATTCACATTTAGCAAAATGCTAATGAGGAACTAATTATAATTCCATTTAAAACCATCAGGCCCTGAGACACTGTATTATTCACCCACCCACCCCCAGCTGTTTTTCAAGTGTGGGGAAGGAAGGCAGGGGAGAGCCTCTTCCCCCCTCGCCTCTGTGGCTTAAGTAAAAAGCCATCCTTAGGCCTAGAAAATGGAACTGGAAAGGCACTTGGGTTTCAAGAGTTTGAGCTGGAAGGTGAACGGGCACAGTGGGCCAGGAGCGAGGCCACTGGGGGAAACACCTGTCTCTGGCTGGAAACACCTGTCCCACCTGCCCGAGGGTACAGCTTGCCGACAGGTGTTGGCGGGACAGGCGACCAGCTTCCCCACACGGAGGCCTCCCTGGCTTCGCCCCTCTGAGTGTCCAACAGTCTCGACGTGGCTGTCTTTACGGTGGCCTGAGTTCACTCTAACACCTTTAAGCAGGGCATTTGGCAAGAGAGGTTTGGAAATCCAACCACCTCTTCCTTCTGAACAGATGAAGCGAAGTCATTTTTCATCCAGCGTAGAACTTTCTGCGAAGCTCTTCTGAAACAGTGAAGCCAAAGGCTCCACACCCCTGAGATGAGCTGGCACGGCAGTGGGAAGCGTCTTTTGCTAAGCCCGTTTGTGCTCCGTCACCCACACGGTCCGGCGTGCCCGACACCCAGCCTGCCAGGTGCCACGTGGCCAGCTATCTGGGGAAGAAGTAGTCCCTGTTGCTGATGTCATAAGGGCTCCGTGGGTCCCTGGCATCTGGTCGGCTGTGGTTCAAGGTGTTGTCAGATTCCAGGCTGCTGGGGGACACCGGCGGGGAGATGAGAGGAACGAGCACTGGGGTGGGGTTGGGCCTCTCGGGGACCAGCTGCCCCAAAGAATACGGGGGGTGCGTGCTCGTCTTGCCTTCTTTCAGGGACTTCAGCTGCCATGTCTTCTTGAGCCTTCACACAAACACACAAAGACAAACCACACAGATGTTTAGCTCCCCTGTGATGAACCCACAGTGAAAAACAACAACAGCTGGCTGCCTGGTGGCCTGGAGCGCCCAGGTCTCAGCTCAAAGAAGTGATAACTTGGCCGGGCGCAGTAGCTCACGCCTGTAATCCTAGCACTCTGGGAGGCCGAGGCGGGCGGATTGCTCAAGGTCAGGAGTTCGAGACCAGCCTGAGCAAGAGCGAGACCCCGTCTCTACTATAAATAGAAAGAAATTAATTGGCCAACTAATATATAGAGAAAAAATGAGCCAGGCATGGTGGCACATGCCTGTAGTCCCAGCTACTTGGGAGGCTGAGGCAGGAGGATCGCTTGAGCCTAGGAGTTTGAGGTTGCTGTGAGCTAGGCTGACGCCATGGCACTCACTCTAGCCTGGGCAACAAAGTGAGACTCTGTCTCAAAAAAAAAAAAAAGGGGGAGTGATAACCCATCAGCTTTTTTTTTTTTTTTAAATCACCAGTGATTTCGCAATACTCTGGAGAGTTGGTGAGTTTCAAAAACTACCCCAGGAAAATAGGTACGTACTGTTGGCCCACTTCATGAGTGAGAAAACTAAGGTGTGCATGGCCATGAGTGTCCCTTCATAGCACCAAAAGCTCACTTGACCACCCCCTAATTTGTCCCGTTGCAGAGGCTGCCCATTAGGTACCAATGGTACCTACTAATTAGGTACCATTAGGTACCATCATCAGTCCCAAATCCACTTTCTTAAAAAAGAGAAAGAAGAAAGTGTTCTTTTAGTGGGGAAGGAAAATGGGCCTCTCGGCAAATTAAGGCTGGCAAGAGGCAGATGATTTGCAACTGTGGTTTAATAGCAGGGAAAGGGCAGCTCACCCTACAGCCCCGCTGTTCGTCTTGCATCCCGTCCTCCCCAGCTCTCCCTAGGCCTCCGGGTCCGCTCCCGCCCTGCTGGCGAGTCCTCACAGACTCAGCCGTGGGCACCGTGGGGCACAAGTTGACTCATCTGACAGGAAAGCCAATGTTACACAGGAAGGAGATAGACATCTCTCTGATCGCAGCTTCGTTTACAGTGCTCCACTCTGGGCCCAATGCCAGGGCTCAGGAACCGAGAAAAGTCACTTGACAGCTCAAAGAAAGATGAGCTGGTGATATGGATCTTCAAAGGTACCGCCAGGTCCCCACCAAAAAAAGGGCCCTTCACAGAGCCGGGCAGCCAGGGCCCAGCCTCACCTCCTCTCTCTTGCTTCCCACTTCGAGGCTGACTTACTGCCTCCAACAAACCCAAAGTGGGAGCAAGGAGGCCCCCTCACCTCCAGTTACTCCAGGAAGGGCCTCAAGGGAGGAAGGGAAACCGATATTAAAAACACGATTTGGGGGATTTTCCTTGGGTTCCTTTTCATATTGACAGGCTATTCCTGTCCTTGTTATGATAAATAATTAATAGTTGGCTCCAAGTCCGCCACTGGCTTTCAGCCTGGTATTCAAATGGAATAAACATTCTGCTGGACCTTTGGGTCATAAAAAAAATGGGATAAACAAATCTGCAGAATGTTACTTTAGAGCTGCACCATTTGGACACTGGTAGGAAGAGAGCCCAGCAGGGGTGCTTACTGGAGCTATGTGGAGTCCTTGAGTGGAATTCTCCTCCCTTGTGAGAGGGCTGGGAGAGAGTCATTGCACCCTGGATTCCAAAGTATTCAGACCCTCAGACCTAGGAATTCCACTTTGGGGAGTATGCCCTAAAGAAATAACATAGTTATGGGAAAAGCTTTATGCACAAAGATGTTCAACACAGTGTTGTTTATAAAAGCAAAACACCTGAATACCCAACGTTGGCTTGGTATATTTACCTAATAGAGGAGTCTGAAGTGAATGAAAGTGAGATTTACAAAGAATTTATAATAAAGTGGGAAATGCTTATGTTATAGTGCTATTTTTTTTATTTTTATTTATTTATTTATTTTGAGATAGAGTCTCACTCTGTTGCCCAGGCTAGAGTGCCATGGCATCAGCCTAGCTCACAGCAACCTCAAACTCCTGGGCTCAAGCGAGCCTACTGCCTCAGCCTCCCGAGTAGCTGAGATTACAGGCATGTGCCACCATGCCTGGCTAATTTTGTCTATATATTTTTAGTTGGCCAATTAATTGTTTTCTATTTTTAGTAGAGATGGGGTCTCGGTCTTGCTCAGGCTGGTCTCCAACTTCTGACCTCGATCGATCCACCCGCCTCGGCCTCCCAGAGTGCTAGGATTACAGGCATGATCCACCGCGCCTGGCCTATAGTGCTAAATTTAAAAGGTAGAATTCAGAGTTGTAGACACAAAATAATTGTGGTTATGTACAAACAAGAAACTAGGCAGAGTAAAAAGACTCAGAGGAAACTCAAAACAGTAAGTGTCCTTGATCTGCATGGGTGGTTCACTTTGTGGAAATTCATACGCGTAGCATGTGCACTCTCCTATGTGTTAGACTTCGACCACATTTGCATTTCTGAAATTAACAGTAGATAACTTTGAATAGTATATGGTTTTTTCTTCTTCTATTTGTCAGCATTTAGCAAATCACCTGTAATAATCATATGTCATATATATATACACACACTATATATATATATATATATATATATTTTTTTAAGGCCCTATTGACCTTACTTAACCAAAATGAAAGCAATCTCTGTCCTCAGTTTTGTCAGAGCAACTAGATGGGAACCAGAGCTTTCCTTTTGAAATATTTTGAAGAGAAAATGAAATCTGTTCTGAAAGTCACGAAGCTCAAAGGGCCTTTGAAAAACCAGCCAGCCTAGGGGTGGCCACACCCGGCGTGGGTGAACTTGAGCAGGCCTGGGGGCAGGAGAGGACATGAGGCAGGTAGAAAGAAGAAACAGCTGAGCTATGGACTTCATTTGCACCTTGACCTCCACCTTTTATCTGTTTTACATATTTGGGGCTTCAAACACTTTTGTTTAAAGAAAAGGTTCCGTAGCTAAAAGAAGTTTTTTTGAATACTCATAACAATTCACTCTTTTTAAAAAAATATGAGTGTCCTCCCCCAAGGCCACAGGGAGTACCCCCTGCACCCAGCCACTTCCATGGCCCAGGACACCATAAAAGCCCGTCTGCCCCCACTGTGGAGGTGGAAGAATCTCTGATTTCAAAATATTGGAATGAGACACTACATTCAACACAAGATGATTTCTAAATCATAAGCATATACGAAGGAAGTCCTCACTTAATGATAAATGTGCATATTCTAGATAAATATTAGAAAAATAATTCTCTGCTAGGAGAATCCTATTTTCCCAGTGCCCGATAGCATAAAATAGAGAGAATTGGTGGAGGGCAGGAATAGAGTAGAAAGAATTGGCCCCTGTAAGTTATAACATCCACTTAAGAGGCTGAGGCGGGCGGATAGCTCAAGGTCAGGAGTTCGAAACCAGCCTGAGCAAGAGCGAGACCCCCGTCTCTACTATAAATAGAAAGAAATTAATTGGCCAACTAAGATATAGAGAAAAAATTAGCTGGGCATGGTGGCGCATGCTGTAGTCCCAGCTACTCGGGAGGCTGAGGCAGCAGGATTGCTTGAGTCCAGGAGTTTGAGGTTGCTGTGAGCTAGGCTGACGCCACGGCACTCACTCTAGCCTGGGCAACAAAGCGAGACTCTGTCTCAAAAAAAAAACAAAAACAAAAACAAATCCACTTAACAAGATGTTTTTTTAACAGTACATTTAAATTTTTAAAGGTTATCACTGATGTTGCTGGAAAAATATTTAGGAAAATACTATGTTTGGGACACCAAATAAATGTACTCAAAGTAAAAATATGGTATCATCAACTGGCAGGTTGAATGTCCACCTGCCTCTCACAATCTACCTACTGTAAATGTGACCATCCCAGCGGTCACCGTGGTTCAGCCACTTTAGTACTCCCAGACCCCCAAGTATCTTGCTTTGTTGCCCAGGCTAGAGTGAGTGCCATGGCGTCAGCCTAGCTCACAGCAACCTCAGACTCCTGGACTCAAGCAATCCTGCTGCCTCAGCCTCCCGAATAGCTGGGACTACAGGCATGCGCCAGCATGCCCGGCTAATTAATTTCTTTCTATTTATAGTAGAGATGGGGTCTCGCTCTTGCTCAGGCTGGTTTCGAACTCCTGACCTTGAGTGATCCGCCTGCCTCAGCCTCCCAGAGTGCTAGGATTACAGGCGTGAGCCACTGCGCCCAGCCTATACTCTTTTCTTGACAGGAGAGATTTGGGGAGTAGAGGAGTTCATCACTTGAAATAACCAACCTCTTTCCAAATAAATTTGCCTTACACAGAAGAAAATGGAAACTCACCCAGCTAGGAAATAAATTACTAACATGTCCTCAGTGCAGGGCACTCGCCCTGTCTGTGCCTGCAGGGACTCTGGTTGTTTAGCAACCAGCCAGTGTCCGAGCATCATCAGCAGATTAGCAACTAGGGCTGTTTGCAACCTAATGCTTCTCAATTAGCGGTTAATAGCACACCAAGATGGCACTGTTTGTTCAAGGCCAGTGGTGGACTGATAGGACCAGCTGGGCCCACCTCTAGCCAACAGCAGGATAGGACCATGAGCAAGGACTCTCAGAGCATGGGTTCCAGTCCTGGCTCTCACTTGTCCTTGAGCAAGCAAGTCATTTTACCTCTTGGGGCTGTTTTCTCATTTATAAAAGTGAAGGATTTGACTAGATGTGCCTTAAAGCCCTATCCAAAGAGCGTGAGCTTTAGGCTTGAATCTTGGCCTTACCCTTCCTAGCTGTAATCACTCAACCTCTTTCAGCTTCAGTTTCCTCAACTGTCAAACAGAAATCATATCTACTCTACAGGGTCCGTGGTGGATTATGAGAAAGGCATGTTGAAGCCCTAAGACTGTAGAAACAGGGTTAGCAAGCAGGAGGTAGACCCCTGAATGCGGACACGGCCCCTCTCTGGCCAAAAGGTTTTGCTTCCTCTAAGAAGCTACCTTCACTCATTAGGAATCTTATTTTCTGCAAACCTTTTGGACTGCTTGTTCACTGCTTTATTGAAAAACCAAAGTGAGAACAACCCTGAACCCAGTTTGAATTGCCATCTTGCTAATCTTCCAAGCCCGACCACCAGTGGTAGCCAAGCCAACGAGGGCCACTGGAGGGATCCAATGAGCTAACATGCAGTCAGGTTGCCCAAGGGGTCAAGGCCTTACTTCTCCTTCCCAAACGTCCTCAAAGACCAACTACCACAATCACCAGATGGAGTCCCTTGAAAGTAACACACGAGGGAAAAAGAAAGGAAGGGCATAGTGCAGTTTCTCATCCACTCATATTATCACCAGCATTGACCGCTGCCCAAAGGGCCCAGGCTGACTTCTTTTAGGGCTTCAGCTTATGCAGAAATGCAAGTTCCTGCATTAAAATCACAAACACTTAAAAGCTTCATTATTGCCTGTTCTTTGGGGACACCACTGACTGACTCTTCTGCAAGCTTGGGAATGAGAGACAAAACCAATGACCAAATGGAGAGCCAGAGACGAGGATGAAATGGGCACAGTGCGACAGTGGCCAGGGCGCCAACCCAGCCTGAAAGAGTATTTCCTAACCATGGCTGCAAGGGAGCACTAGGACAGAACATTCAAAGGTCACCCTTTTAATTCTACATGGATTGAAACATGAATATTCCCAAGGAGGTCTTGCCAGCCACTTTGGATTTAACTAGGTACATGCATACCTCTGTTGTGGGACTTCTCGCGTGGTACTGAAATCATTCTAGTATGTGGCTCTTGGAAGGGAGGAAAGGTCATGCTCATTTTGCAATACCAGAGCCTACGGTGTTTCTTCAGTGTCTCGTGCATACTCTTCCCTCTGGTTGTCACAACACCAGGGTCCCCTGGTCCTTCTCCAGCCCCACAGGCCACTCCTCCTCCACACAACTCTCCAATGTCGGGTTTCTGCAGGGCCCTGTCATCCACCCTATCCCCATCCTCTCCCATGGCTCTAATTACTATCTACATGCTGGTGACAACCTGAATTGTCTAGCGAACATGTCCACTTGACATTCTCACAGGCACCTCAAACTCGGGGGGTCCCAAAGTGCAATGGTCCTTTTTCACTCAGACTCGTATTGTCTCTGACGTTTCCACTCTCAGTGAATGACACCACCATCGCCCGGATGCTGAAGCCAGAAACTCGAGGATCACCCTGACTCCTCCCTCTCCATCCTCCTCATCTGATCCATCATCCATCATCAAATGCTGTCAGTTCTACTTCTAAAATACATCTTCAATCCTTCATGGCTCTCCCACCCATCGCCACCACTCTGGAACAGGCTCCTGTGGTCCCTTGCCCAGACGCTGGGCTGCCGCATCCATTTTACCTCTCCCATCTGATCTCCAAACTGCATGGAGAGGGATCTTTCAAAACTGCACGCCTGACCAGGTTCTTCCTAGGACCCTGCAACGGGCACTCATAACACTCAAGAGAAGGCCTAAAACCCTTCCAGTCTCTTTCAAAACCTCCCATGACCTGGCTCCAACCTACCCCTCCACTATTTCCTGCCCCAGGCCTCCCCCGCTGAGACACACGCACTGCTACACGTGCACACACGCACATGCACACACATTGCTACACGTGCACACACACTGCTACACGTGCACACACGCACATGCACACACACACCTTCATCCATGTTACATACTAGACTCCTCTACTATAACCCTCTTCTTTCTCCTCCTCCTTAGTGCTACGTCAGTTTGCCTTCCCATGGGATGCTCTTTCTGTAGCTCTCATCACACCAGTAATTACCTCTTCGTGTCTGGCTTCCTCCTGAGACTGTATCTATCCTGTCCACCCCTGTCTCTGACCGCACCTAACAGGGCTTGGCCTCACAGTAGGTGCTGTGTGTGTCGTGGTGTGTGCACTCATTCTGTTGAATGAATGAATGCTCTGTAAATTTCTGATGACAGATGGGCAGAGGAAAGATGGGAACACCACAGGGCCGTCCCTGGGACCCGTCTCACCTCAGGACGATGCCAACGCAGAGGAGCGAACCGAAGACCAGGATTCCTCCAGCCACCAGGAACGTGGGCAGTGGTGCCGAAGAAGAATCTTGCACTAGGTTAAAAAAAAAAAAAAAAGATAGTGGAGAAAGAATGAATAGGAGTAAAATGATCAGAAAAAGGAGGAGGAGGAGAAAGACACTTAGCTGGTGCTGTCAACAGCCTCAGAGGAGCCTCACCCCTGGAAGGTGACACAGCTGTGCCAACCAACCGGCCCCCTGACGTGCTTAACAGTTTTCTGGCTGAAGCCAACTCGAGAAGAGCCACCTACCCCCAGCACAATCTGACAGACCCCACCACTTGGCAAGAGATACACCCAAGCTCAGAGTTTCTGAGCTGCTGCGGCCAGCCACGGACTCCCACTCACTTTCAGAGTGGTTTCTCTGGTGGCATTCCACCTACCCCTGCAAGACACAGAGTGGGTACAAGAAATTGAAGGCTTTGGGGACCTCCTTGATGGCAGCTCCATTGAGGACGATGCCAGAGAGGCTCAGATGCTTTAAATCCAATACTTGGAAGCAGTTTTCCTATTGGGGTGTCATCTCTTTCCTGTGTCCCTACTTGGCACTCAAGTCCCAGCCATATGAACTTCACTGGGTTCTCCAACATGCTATGTTCTCTTTCCTCCAGGGCTTTCCACACACGTTCCCTCTTCTCTCCGGAATGCTCTTCCCACCTTTGCTGCACCCCTATGCTGTCCAGTCCCTACATGGCCTTTGGGTGTCAGATGAGGTAATGTCACTTCCTTTGAGAAGTGACTGTGCTCCAAGCTGGGTAAGTGCTGCTCCTGGCTAATTCTCCAGTTCCACCGCTAAACTGAGCTCCCTGAAAGTGGGACCACATGTATCTTTTCACTGTCATACTCCCAGTGCTCACACAGTGCCTAACGCACGGCGGGCTCTCCAAAACATTTCACTGAATGAAGGAAAGAACAAACTAGCTCCAAAGCAGCCATGTCTTCCCACAGAAAGGCCCTTCCTACAACTGCCAGAGACCCTGGACTGGACAGAGGGTAAGTCTAAGCAGAACCATCTAGGCCGGGCGCGGTGGCTCACACCTGTAATCTTAGCACTCTGGGAGGCAGAGGTGGGCAGATTGTTCGAGCTTAGGAGTTTGAGACCAGCCTGAGCAAGAGCGGGACCCCATCTCTACAAAAAATAGAAAAAATTAGCCGGGCATGGTGGCGCATGCCTGTAGTCCCAGCTACTCGGGAGGCTGAGGCAAGAGGATCGCTTGAGCCCAAGAGTTTGAGGTTGCTGTGAGCTAGGCTGACGCCACGGCACTCTAGCCCAGGCAACAGAGTGAGACTCTGTCTCAAAAAAAAAAAAGGATGGAGATAGAAATTCGGGAGTCATCAGCCCATAGATGGTCTTTGAAGATACAGAGCTGGATGAGGTCATCAGTGAGGCTGGGTGGAGAAGACACGAGGATCCCTCTCCTCCGTGGCAGCCTCTGAACTCCCCACCTCCTGCCATCCTGCCTGTACCATTCAAGGCCCATTTCAAGTGGCACCTCCTCCAGGAGCTTCCCGTGATTGCCCCGCTGGACATGTTCTCCCAAGTCTCTAAACTCCACTGGCTGTATCGACGCCTCCTCCCTTTTGGCCCATCTCACCCCTGCTCCTAGTTACAGTTACTGGTCTGCTCTTGGTCAGAGCTGCCCAATGGCCTGGGGCCTCCTTGAGGCGTGGCTTTCATTCTGTCTGAGCCCCCAGCTGTGCAGAGCTCAGCTCCGGGTATTCAGCAGGTGCTCCATAGGTGCGCTGCACCCGGTAGCACTCCGCACCTGGGAAGGTGCAGCACGGCACCAGCATCGGGTGCAGGCAGGAATCTGCCCAGAAGGGGAATGAGGCCAAGCACTTCCTCACAAAGCCCAAGAACTAGCAGATGGAGCTGCTCAAGAGCTGAACCTCTGGAGTCTGGACGCCACGAGTCCCCTATATCCAGCAAAACAAACACAGGCCCTGAGATTGTTCTGGATTCAAATGTTGGTTCGTTTTCCCGGTCTTGCAGGTAAGGGGAATCAGAAGTATTGAAATCAAAGGCTCCCAAAACAAAGACTTCCCTCAATGGGTATCCCATTTCAGACTCCATTAATTTTGTTCGTAGCTCGTTCATTTGCACTGTGGGCCAGTTCTGAAATATTTCACGGATTTGTCTCGCTCTTCTTATGGTCCCTTCACTGTACCTTAGCTAACTTCAACAAACTTCCTCCAACTTCAACATATAAAGGAATAAAAGAGCATTTTTGCCATTGATCCTCTGCCAACCTGTCCAAATAAGAAGAGACTTTCTGCAGACACAAGTCTTGAGCCCCTCAGACCATAGGGATACAAAAATATCCAGTCCTTACCTGGGAGGCTTGTCGCGTTTGCAGAGTCTCCGGGGAGAATATTATCATCCTCGTTAGTGGTAGTAGTAGGTGCCTAAAAGAGACATTCCTCACCATAAGCTGATTTCTGCAGGCGCCACCACCACTCAGACCCAGTTCAGGAGTCACATCCTGCTCAGAGCAACCCCCACTCCTCCCGAGGCATTCCTTTCTCTAGCTCCTGAACCTCTCAGTATCTGACCTTGGTCTCCCTCAACTTTTCACTAATATTTGCATTATTTGTGCGCACAGCTTGCCTGCTCAAAGTGGGCACAGCACCCTGCATGGAGGAAATGCTCAACGCACACGCAGAAGCAGGGGCTGTCCTTGTGCATCTGGTGCTTCCAGGGAAAGCACCGCCTGCAATCCTGGCTCCACCGCTTACCAGCTGTGTGGCCTCGGCCAGATTTCTGAACCCTCCTGGGCTTCAGTCCTGTTCCCTTGTAAGGTTAACATGAAGATCAAATTAAATAGCAAATGAGGCCGGGCGCAGTGACTCACACCTGTAATCCTAGCACTTTGGGAGGCCGAGGCGGGAGGATCACTTAAGGCCATGAGTTCAAGACCAGCCTGAGCAAGACCCTGTCTCTACAAAAACTAGAAAAATTAGCCAGGCATGGTGGTGGACATCTGTAGTCCCAGCTACTTAGGAGGCTGAGACAAGAGGATTGCTCAAGCCCAGGAGTTAGAGGTTGCAGTGAGCTGCGATGATACCACTGCACTTTAGCCTTGGAGACAGAGCAAGACCCTGTCTCAAAAAAAAAAGAAAAAGAAATAGCAAATGTAATGCTTATAGTGTATCTGGGCATGGCTAATCCTCCATCAGTGTCATTTCCCCTAGAAGCTGTGTTGGGAGCTCTCTAGCCCCACAGGCATGGGCTTTCCCTGCAGCTGTTCCTGCAGGTGCCCGGACAGTCCTACATCAAACATGGATAAGGCTCAGGAGCCCCGGGCTCCTTCCCTGTGCTGCTTAGGTTCAGAAGTGGCTGTGCCTCCCAGCTTAGCATTTAGGGAATTAAGGACAACAGGAGAAGATATAGTTGGATGAGAAATTGGATTACTCAAATAATTTGTTAAGCAGCTTCAGAGGTAATCCTCTTTCCAATAAATTATGACACCCAGGAGTCCACAGGGGAGGGATTAGGATGGACTGAATCCGGGTCTCAAGCTAAGCCGTTAGTGGTGTCCAGAAAGCTCCGAGATGAAACAGCAGCCTCTGGACGCAGGGCAGTGCCGTGCACCAGGCCAGCGCTGCTCCGCACTTGATAGTACTGGGACAGAACTGCTATCGTCCCCTTTCACTAAAGTTTGAAAAGGACAAGCAATTCACTCATGGCCACACTCCTAGTAAGTGGCAGAGCTGGCATTTAAACCAAATTCTATCTGGCACCAACCCACAGGCTTGTAACCGCTAGGTGCTGCTTCCCTGACCCTTTTCTAAGAACATGAGCTCACCTGCGTGGTGGACACCTTGGGCTGCGCCGGAGGACTTCTAGATTCTGTGGAGAGAAGGAAGGGTGTTATAGGTGATTCAGGGACGCCTGAAGGAGCTGGTCTAATGGGCTTCAAGAAGGCAGAAAAAATGGCGCCCGATGCTTATTTAAACAACGACCGCGAGCCTAAACCCCTGGCAATTCCGCAAATAGCAACCATACGTGACTAGCCCTTCCCCTATATACATCATGACACAGCGCGGAGCTGATACTCACAACACCCTTTAAAAATAGTGTTACGGAGGACAATATTAAAGAATGACCCGCCATCAGTCCTGTAATTGCCGGGGGATGAATGAAAAATACAAAAACGTGGAATTGTCCATGTAGTTTGATCTGGTTTCCAAAGAAACATATTTATATAATTATTTTTTGGATAATACATTTACTGCTTGTCGATACATCTATCATTCACACAAGGAACGAATAATGAATGGTGTAATATCATCAGATAGTATGCACTATATAATTTCGATTGCCGGGCCAGTGCGGTGGCTCCCATGCCCGTGCTTATCCTAGCACTCTGGGAAGCCGAGGCGGGGAGGATCGTCAGGTCAGGAGTCAGGACCGCCTGAGCATAGAGTGAGGGACACCATCTTATGTAAAAAATAGAAAGAAAATTAACCTGACCAACAAAAGTATATAGAAGGAAATTAGCCGTCATGGTGGGCACATGTCCTGTAGTCCCAGGCTACTCTGGGAGGCTGAGGCAGGAGGATTGCTTGACCCAGGAGTTTGAGGTTGCTGTGAGCTAGGCTGACATCATGGCACTGAAGCCCAGGCAACAGAATGAGACTCTGTCTCAAAAAACAAATTTTTTTGATCTCCTTCTATGCATCTCCTTAGTACACGTTGCAGGAGAAGGGATGTGTTCCTCCCCTCCATGGGAACAGCGTTTCTGCAGAAACCCCCGAGGAGGGTTTCTGGCCAGAAGAGGCCAAGTACTCAAGTGAGAGCCTGGCCCCGAGGGGCTGGAAGCTGGACCGTGACAGGCAATGGGTGGAACGCTGTGGATTTCAAAATATTTTCTTGTCAGTTCATCATTTTTCCATTAAGAAGTTTTAAATACCACAGAAATGGTTTACACAAAAATGACGAGCCTCACTAAGCCAGGAGCAGGAAGGACTAGCAAGGGGATGGAAGATAAGGTGGTCTTGTTTTTTCTGCTTGGGAGAGAATTTCCAGCGGCAGTACACCATCCTCAGGAAGGAAGTACACACACCACAGCACTGAAGGGGGTGTAAGAACACCGTCTTCCCTCCTCATTGTACAGAGAGGAAGCAGAGGCCCAGAGAGGGAAAGCAAACTGTCCAAGGTCACACAGCAAGTGTGACCAGAATTGAACCAAGAATTCATGGGAGGAACCCAGTTTCTCATTCCCGTGTGCTCCTCCCAGCCCGGCCTAGCAGAGAACAGTTAGACTTACAGCAGGAGGTGACTGAGAGGTGACCAGAAGGTGTGGGGGCACTAGTAAGACAGCTAAAACCAGGAGATGGGAACAGCACTAAATAAAAATATGGGTGACCATGGACGGTCATTTAGCCCAGGGTTCCCCAAATCCAGCCACATTGGGCACCACCTTGAGCCTTTCACCCCAGACCTGTGGCCTCAGAATCCTGGGGAAGGGACCCAGTCACCTGGATTTTTAAAAGGCTCTGAAACCCAGAGAAGTGCTTCAGGAAGAAAGGTTTCTACCCTCAGTCCTGACCACCCACACGCATGTGGTCCAGAGAATGATGTGTAACCGCTGGTGGCTCATCCAGGGTTAAAGTGAGAGCAAACCACAAAGCCAGACACTCACGGGCAGAGGGGAGGACAGGCAGCGGGACCCGCAGGAGCAGCGCCAGGTGGCTCCTTCCACCCAGCTCCTAACTGATCTGAATGAGAGTGAGACCCCATCTCTACTAAAAATAGAAAAATTAGCCGGGCATGGCGGTGCATGCTTGTAGCCCCAGCTCCTCAGAAGGCTGAGGCAGTAGGATTGCTTGAGCCCAACCACTTTTGAGACTCTGTCTCAAAAAAAAAAAAGTTGGCAACCTTAATTGGTCCCTGGAATTCTCTCTAAAATTTTACAGGCCTGTGAAATCCCAATGTCTAGGAACCTCTGAGCTACGCACAGGGCGGTCAGGCAGGCAGAGGGGAGGATGTGGGAGGAGGGGATGCCGGGATGAGCAGGGAAGGAAGAGCGAGTGCCCCAGATGGATGGCACAGGACGGAGGGCCACATCCTCCAGGTGCTGGGAAGGAGTGCAGTAGAGGGAAAGAGGCGAGTGCGGGAGGCCAGGCACGAGGGAGGGGTGGCAGGGTGCAGAAGGCCTTCTGCACCCGGCTCAGGAGCTCAGGCTTCACCTGGAAAACCACAGGGGGCACAGCTGTCGGTGGGAACAACAGAGGCAGGCTTGTGACTTAGAAAGATGCCCGTAGCAGTGGCGTGGAGGAAGCAGGGTGTGCGCACAGCAAGGACAGGAGATCAGTTAGGCGTGCTGACTATAAGAGTCCGTTGAGATGTGACAAAAACCTGAACTAAGAGGGGGAGATGTCTGTCGTGATGCCCAGGCTCCTGGCTCAGGCAGCAGGGTGGTTTGGGAGGAGTGGTAATATGTTGGGTTTGGGTCGTGCCGACCAAGTATGTGGCACAGGAGGGAGGACCTGGGCAGAAGTCTGGGCCAAGGAAAGATATGAATCCAGAGCTTAAGAGTCAGGCTCAGGCCGGGCGTGGTGGCTCATGCGCTGTAATCGTCAGCGCACTCCTGGGAGGCCTGAGGCGGGCAGATCGTCAAGGTCAGGAGTCGAAACCAGCCTGAGCAAGAGTGAGACCCCCATCTCTACTAAAAAATAGAAAGAGAATTAATTGGCCAACTAAATATATCATAGAAAAAAAATAGGCTGGGGCATCGTGCGGCATGCCTAGTCCCAGCTACCTGGGGAGGCTGCAGCAGAAGGATTGCTTAAGCCCCCAGAAAGTGTTGAGGTTGGCTATGAGCTAGGCTGACACCAGCACTCTAGCTGGGCAACAGAGAGAGACTCTGTCTGCAAAAAAAAAAAAAGAGCAGGCTCAGCCAGGAGAGCGATGGTTGGGAAAACAGTCACGACTGGCCATTTACGTAGCCAGCCAGCACATGGCCAGGCTCTGTGGCTACACGGCTTCCCATCTTGTTGAAACCTCCATCACCCTACCGGGGGCAGCATTTTGGTTAGGGGGGGAGGGTTTGAAGCAGCATATTCATCCACTTGACAAGTAAACAGTCTTATGGGCCATACCACCCGCTAAACGGCACCGCAATCTCGCTGCTGATTTCGAAGGCTAAGCAGGTCGGACCTGGTTAGTACTTGATGGGAGACAAATGAAGCACCAACTGGGGCCTCAGAATAGGTATCTCTCCTCAAGGTCATGCATAGTAAAGCGGCCAGGCCAGTGACTAGCTCCAAAGCTGTCTGACCCGGAGCTAGTGCCCACACAAAGTGGTACAGAAGTAGGCGGTGCATGGTAGAGGCCAGGTGGGGCCCCCAGTGAACTGGAAGTTCAGAAAGCTGCAGAACAGAAAACATGGATGTTCACATGGAGGGTGAACACGGAAGACGCGGCTCCAGAAATGTGTGACGGCAAGGCTCTTTGGTCGCCACTTGGGGGTGCTGAGGAGAGGAACAAAACGAACTCCCCAGAATGGACGGCTGAAGGTTGAGAAATAATACGGAGGGGCCAGGGACGCTCCACCTGGAAGGTCCCCAGCTGGCTTCAGGGCCCCCCTCAGGTGCAAATCAAACCATCTAGTACCTCCCTCCAACCGGTATAAATTCCATCTTGGGGAATACCAAGAGGGAGTAAAGGGATTATTTAAAAGGAGTAAAAGAATAACGCCTATGCCTAACGGTCTATTCCAGGCACTTTGTCGCCTTGCCGTCTTTGAAAAGGGTTGCTTAGGCCCCCACGCGACTCAATGGCCAGCACAATCAGGGAGAACTCCCAACAGGAGAAAGGATAGCTCAGGGAACTGCCTAGGACGAAAGCTGCCTGTGCACAGGGAACCTCTGCTTCTTAAGGGCACCAGCCTGTCTTCCTGCCCTGTCAATGAAATGAACCAACTGCCGCAGTCCAACAGCAGCGACCTGGGCCTTGCTTGCCAAAGCAGGGGCCCCAGGAGGGTTGACTCTGGGCTCCCACCTAAAACAGAAGGCCTGTGCTGGGGCCACTGATCGGTGCGGGCCAGGCCCCAGCCTCAAGGGGGCAAGGCAACTGCAGAAGTTCCAGGCTCCAAGAGACCTCTTCCATGGCCTTCCACCCCACTTACAGGGCCACCGACGCGGCCTCCACCTGCCCCCTCGGACCTCCCATGCACACCTGGTGCCCAGCCTCAACTGCACAGCCCGCATCACCCCCGCCTCAACAGCGCCATGCCTCTGCCCTGCTGTCCGTCCGCCACGACCCATTTCTCTCTGGGACACTCCTACACATTCCCGTTCAAGACACAAAACTCGGTGTCACCCTCCTCCGGAAGCTTCCTGCGGCTCTTTAACCGGCCCGACAGAAGTGCCTGTTCAGCCTTAACCTCTTAACCTACTATGGGGCGCTTTTCCTCTCCCTGCCCCGCAGCACGACTGAAATCACGGGAAGCTTTCTCAACTACCACGCCACTCCCCCCCACATTTCCAACTCAGGGGCAAGGACGCGCATCCAGGCTAAGCGATCGGGGATTCATGGCCCAACTCCCTCATCCCCACACCCAACACTGCCCTGTAACTGCTAATCCCCTACATTCGCAGTGTGCTTGTTCCATGTCATCAGACCCACAAAAACTCGCCGACAGGCAACAAGACAGGCATATCATCCTACTCTCAGAAGACAGAGAACTAAGGCCTGGGAGGTGAAGGACTTCACCAATGTCACAACAACCGGATTCCAGGTCCAATGGTGCTTCCCGTGACCTGTCTGTCCTCCCAGAGGTCACCACCCCACACTATGCTTGGGATGCAGGGGCAATCTACACTTTCTGGGCTTTGAAACTGAAG